ACACACACACACACACACACACACACACACACAATGGCTTTTTGTTGTTGTACATTATTTCTTTCTGTTAAAAGGACCAATCTATTAGTCAGATTGTATATTACTGCAGTCAGATTCAGAGTTGTGTAGTAACCAGTTACATTTACTTGAGCAACGTTTTAGAACAGATGTATTTTTAAGAGTATTTTACTATGCTGTACTTTTTATGTTTACTTGAGTAATTTTATGATGAAGTATCGCTACTCTTACTTGAGTAAAATTTCTGGTAACTCTACCCACTGTGAGTAACTTCACTGAATAAAGAACAAACTTGTTTTCACCAAAACTTCACCAGAAACACACACCTGCAGGTTTTGTTAGCGTCATAAATTTTATATTGAAAAAAAAAACCGATCTGGAATTTTTTTTTGCCTGAATTGACTATTTTGTAAATATGTTATTTATATGAATTATTTCAATTTTGATCTTTAAAATACCAAAATTTCCAACTAGTTATATATTTTGGTGTGTCTGATGATGTCATTTTTAAATACTACCCAATACTATTTTACTCTTACTTGAGTCATATCTTGGATTGCTACATTTTACTAATTACTTGAGTAAAAATATGTTGAAGTAGTGCTACTCTTACTTAAGTACATCTTTTGGGTACTCTACCCACCTCAGGTTGAATTGTTTGTAAAGCACTTTTATTTAACTATCAATAAAAACGTACAATACAAATACAGACTTATCACCATCATAACTATGTGCAGCCAGTCTGATTTGTGGTCTCACCTCGTTCCAGTTGGGCTCTGTAGAGTCTCTGTAAACACGCGTTTTGGCTTTGTTGACAAAGTAGCCAAAAGAGTCCACCTCCAGGGAGCAGTACAGGTCTGAAGACACACAGAACTGGTTTGAACGATGAAATCAAAGTGAAGCAGAGACTTTGAGGAATTTATGAAGCATCTAGTTGGGACATGCTCATGCTGGTTTGTTGTGAGATCTGACTGGAACAACATGCCTTCATCAACAAGAACTGCTTGTGTCACTGTCCTGCGAGTGTTTAAGCTCTGAGGCAGGCAGTCTCTGATTATTGCCAGCCCAACTTTGCATCAGGGAGCACAGTCGTTTAGGCAAGCAGTGATTTGAGGAGGCAAAGACATATTTCAGACAGCCTGTACTCTGTGTTCCTGACTAATCCCACTTGTTCCCCTCAAGCTGCCCTCCCAGCTGGCAGCAGCAGAGTGAGAGACAGCCAGCGAGAGAGAGAGAGAGAGAGAGGATTGACAGAGAGGATGATGTGTCACCACAAGCAACCGTGAGAATAATCAGTGAGATGGTTTCTAATCAAAAAACAACCCGACAACGATGCTTACTTAAGCTCTGCTTCAGCCCAGACGCAGAGTGGACAATCACATTCAGGAAGCCGTATAAACCAGAAGATTCATCATCTGTGCACAAAACCGTTTGGGTTGAAAATGAATCATAACACAGAGTATGTTAGAAGTGCATTAAAGTGTCTGTGACATCAGATTTTTATTGTAATAAATGTGAATGCATTTTTGGAAAGAGAACATTGAAAACATATTGCAAAACAAATTTCTCGCTGCTGTGATGAACGGTTGTTGATATTTGCATGTAAAGAAATAGGAAGTGATGTCAAACGGGAATGTCTGCATGTAAACAGAGCAATGCTACAATAATTAGAGAAMAATCTGATGTTTCTTTAGAATATTGTGAGTCACTAACACAGAGATGAAGAGTTTAAATAAGATTGTTTCAATAAACAAAGAATAGAGTTTCTTTTCTTAAAGAGTTCCCCTTTGATGTCACTTCCTGTTTTACTTTGCTGAGRCAAATTCAAGAGGAAAATATGCCAGTTATGTGACAAAATGGGTAAAATCGTGTGTATTTTGCTAATTTTCTTAAATATAAAAACYTTTTCTTTGACTTTTTGTATTTGAAGGATAAGCATGTCACAGGCCCTTTAAATTCTCRATTATGCAACTAAACAAGATTTACCTTCCTTATTCATGGTCATTGGAATGGTGTGGACCGTTTGGAGCTTCACACATGAATTAGTGAGCATCTGCAGCTCCAGCGAGGTCAAAGAGAAGCTCTTAAAGCCTGAGAGTCACAGTTTGGAGGGAAAAATTACCTGATGTCTACAGAGACAAAAATAACTTTAGGTGTTTAAAAAATGGAACTCACACTTCTTCTGCTGCTCGCGAATGATCTCCCTCCACTCTGCTCGCTCATAATCAGAGGAAATTAAAAAAGTAAAACCCTGAAGAAGGAGAATAAAAAGTATTTCAGTGTTGCTTCAGTGGTCACACCCTGTAGATGCAGACCACCAACAGCAGAGGGCAGCAGAAATCTAATTAAAAAGGTTCAATATTTTTAATTTAGCTTTTTAAAAAACTCCTCAAATAAACTCTGAAATATTTAAATGCTTTTTAAAGTCCTGACTCACTTTTCCGTTTCTGTTGGCCACTCTGAAGGCCATGTTGGGAGACATGAGAAGCAACAGAGACTCCTGTTCGGATAGTTTCTTCCTCAGTCGTTCCATTACCTTGGACGCTTTGGTTGTCCTCTGCAGACATAAGCAGAAAGTTTTGATGGACTCACACTCGCATTATGTTCCTCATTATCAAAACGCTGCCTTGAAAGATGGGAAAACGTGGAGAGTCATGTTCAAAACCTTGGCACASAAGGTGGTTGATGTTTCGCAATCCATAAAGAACTGCTAGATTTAATTTGTATTTGTCCCTCATTGTCCTGGTGTCTGTACTGCAGCTGAGTCTCAGCACAATATTTACTGTCTGTTCTCACCTTCTCTCTCTGAATCTCATTCTTGATCTGGGAAATCTTGATCTTCATTGCATCGATCTCTTCATCCTGAACCAGAGGGATTGGGCAGGCCTCGCAGTCGTCGATAGTTTGGAAGGTCAGGTCAGCCAGCGGGATGTACCACTTYCAGTCGTACTGTTGCCCTTTACTGAGTGACAGAATAAAAACTACAATAGAAACATAGCTCTGTTGTCTCATCGGCATGAAGCAAACAGCACATTTCGCTTCAAGATATTCAAAGATCTATCAGTTGAATCAAACCTATGTTCTAAGAACAAAAGGTAGCATTCTCCCTTTCCAGCAGGGTGGATGCAGTCTCAGGCTGGACTCACCCCGCTGCTTGTTTCTTCAGTTTGGTGCAGAGCAGCAGGTCGGTGAAGAGGAACACGTGACGAAGTTTCCTCGAACCCTCGAGTAACTCCACCATGAAACGATCTCTCAGCAGCTGTCGGTTCTGACAAAGAAACAGAATTTACAGTTCAACAGTCACTTATATGCAGCTTGATCAGGATTAGTCTGCTGCGGTTTTGGCAGCAGTACATAGATGATATTTGCAAACTTTTACATCTTAGTGAAACAAAGATCCCTCTTTGTAGCTKTACAGCTCAGACACAGTTGCTAGCAGAATTATGACTCAGAGTTTAAACAGATTACTAAAAGTTATAGTACAAATCTGAACTGACATGTTCTATATTTTAAAGTTTTTATTCATCTGGAATTTACATTTTTTGACTTTTGGAGATTTTACCACATATCGTTTATTATCACACTTGCTTTTAGCATTCTTTTGAGTAGCCTAAATCTTCCCAAACTGTTGTAAAACAGCTTATTTTCTCAACATCTACACTCACAAAATGTATATATCAAAACTCGGGCTGCATGAGATCAGGAAAACCTGCGATGAGCAGCTAGACACAGCATTACACAAATAATAAAAACAGTTAAACATTTGTGATATTATGTCAGAGATGTCAAAAGTATTCACATCCATTACTTAAGTAGAAGTATAGATACTAGGGTTTAAAAATACGTTTTTGGAAGTAGAAGTATCAACTCAGGCTTTTTACTCAAGTAAAAGTATAAAAGTACTCATTTTAAAACCACTTAAAGTATAAAAGTAAAAGAAATGAACAATTTAGGATAAAAGCTTAGGCTGTGCGTACAGCGTAAAGCGTACAGCCCCTCCAATTTTTCTAAAGTCAATAATGAGTATAATGTTAAATCAAAATATTAATGTTGAAAATTTTGAAATTAACTGACTAGGCTATGTGTTTCAGCCACAATTATCTTCATTCTAGGTGACATGCATCTGCTACAGTATGTCTTGGTGGAATGTGATGGGATTTTTGTCATACAGGTCTGGTGGAGRGCATTTAATCCAATAGGGTGTCAGAATGGTTTATATTTACACTTCTCATCCAACCACAATCAAATTCACTCTATCCATGGGCTTCCCTTGCATCTGGATAGATTTCTATTTATTTATTTATTTTCTGAACAATGGAAAGATGGAATAAAAACAAGCCAAAGTTAAACAGAAATAAAATACTATTTGCATTTTTAAAAATTAAGGAGTAGAAAGTACAGATAATTGATATAAAATGTAAGGAGTATAAGAAAAACGTAAGGCTGAAATATAATTACTCCACTAAAGTATAAATAACCAAAATTACTACTTAAGTAAAGTAACAAAGTATTTGTACTTAGTTACTTGACACCTCTGTATACTGTGCAGTCCTAACCAAAACATAATAATCTCTGTGTCTCTGATTGTGTAAGGACTTCTAGTCATCTCTCAAATCCTCCCAGAGAGCAGAGTTCACACGCATCCAAGCTCTCTTTGGCTCCCAGATTAAGCTTAATAATTTTATTTTCAAAACTGGAACTTAATATTCTTTTTCATAGAGTTATATAAGACAACTAGAGTTTGCACTGGTCACGTGACCTTGTGATTCACTGTAGCAAGATGGCTATTAGCAGAGAGAGCAAGCCTCTGTACTATGCCTTTTGGTAAATGACGACTAAAAGCCTTGAGTAAGTGTTGACCATGTATAAAATAATAAAATGTATTATATAAGATAATGTAATATATATCAGTGTTTTTCAACCCTGGTCCTCAGGGCACACTGCCCTGCATGTTTTACATGTTTCCCTGCTTCAACACAGCTGATTTAAATTGATAACTGATTGACAGGCTTTTGTTGAACTGCAGTCATCAGAATCAGGTGTGTCAACACAAGGAAAGCTCTAAAACATGGAGGGCAGTGTGCCTTGAGGACCAGGGTTGAAAAACACTGATATATACAAGCTAAAAAAAAAAAGTAATATAAAAAATGTACAAATGGCAGAAAGCTGAATGTGTTACAGATGGACAAACAGAAGAAAAAACCCACACATTTACCTCAGTGTGAATGTGACCCAACCAGAACTGAAGTGAACCAGTTTAAAGTTAGCCTATAAAGCTGATGTAACTGCTGTTAATTATTGAAGGAGCTGGTAGATATTAACATATGTGGCTTATATTATTATACAAACTGTAGCAGTAAGACTGCTGTACAGGATGGATCATGTAGCTAAAAGTCTAAATTATTGACCAACTTCAGGTCCAGTTTAGATCATCATCATCATCATCATCATCATCATCAGGTATAACAGATCTGTTTTCTCTACATACATATTTGCTTTGTTTTACATATTTGATGTATGAAATTAACATTAATTATGACATGTATCCAGTTGGGCTTGCTGTTCATCAAACAATTGTTTTGTCGGCTGTGAGAAATTGCCCTGTTTGGACGCCATCTTAGTTCCTCCACAGAGTCACAGATGTAAACAACGAGAGGGACAGATGATGCAGAGCACACTCCAGGTGTCTTAAACAATTAGCTTTTCATTTCTCCTACTTTAAACACTGCAGACACACAAAATAACTTATAGCTCAGGAATGTTTTTCACATGACTTACAGTTTTTACACAGCGACTGATTGATGCTATTTAATTTGTGTTTATGTCTGATGCTTTTTATTATTATTATTGCTGTCAGGAAGTAAGAAACAAAGATGTCTGGTTACCATGTCGATCCTATAAGCCACTGGCTGCAGCTGTGACATTTCTTATAGAGTTTATGAATCAAAACATCAACATTTTGCAACTTTTGTCTCAAATTATACTGGTTTTTAGAGCAAAAAGTGGAGTTTCAGGCAGTAGCTGCTCTGGTGTCCATCAAAAGTTTTCCAGAAATTTTCTAGTTTTGTTTGTTTTGTGGTCAGTATAAAGCTGTAAAGTAAAAAATCTCTATAACAATCAAATCAGAAAAATCTGAATTCAGTATGTCACAGATATTATGACATATTACATAATACCAGTTTTTATCTGCAGGAGATGTGCATCTGAATTCCTCTGCTGACCTCTGACCTCAGGGCTGAGCTTTTTACAGGGACTGCCCACGTGAGACTCGGCGGCCCCACACCGACCACATCTCGACAAAAACAAGGAAATCACTGCCGCACGGTTTTCCTCTGCTGCTCTCTGCACACTCCAGCTCAGTCCTGGCTTGTTCCAAACATACTACTGAGGAAACCATGCGTGTTCAAACGCTGGCCTCGATTTAAAGGGCCAGGCAAGGGTTACATCCGCTTATTGTTTGGTGACACAAACGTGACCGCAACTCAATAACCCAATGGAAACAACAAGAGCCGCTCAGAGATGTCCCTGTTTGTCAGCACTGTAATGAAACACTGAGGCATGTACAGAAGTGAAGCTAAATAAACTCTTTGGTTTAAATGGCTTTGGGTAATTACAGGAGGTCCCAGTGGAAAACATCAACACAGATGCAAATTTAGCCATGAGTAGACCCTACACAACAGCAAACCCATATTTTAAACTGTAAGTCAAGACTTGGCTTGTTATCTGTCAATCTCATGTGGGATTTCTGACTTCCCAAACACAATGCTCACAACGTCACACTGGGCTGATATCCTACCCCAGCAGGCAGGACCGATTCTAAGGAAAAAACAGAGGAAGTCCTCAATCAGGTCATCTGAATCACYCATGGTGTGTGGAGGGGCCGTAAGGAGGAAGCACAGATAAGTTCAAACTCACATCCAGTCAAAAGGTGGGCTGACCAGCAGAGTCCATAAGGTCTTCTGCAAGTCACTTTCTGGGAAGCGGACTGGACGCCGCAGCGGGGAAGGATGGGAGTGAGAGGCAGAAGTCTGTGTTTGCTCTGCTRTGTCACTAGCTTCCTCCACACTCGGCTTCTTTCACAGCAGACAGACTGAAGTGAGTCAGCAGCAACCTGACTCACACTCGGGGTTTTATTGCAGCTTCCACACACCTTGTGCTCAGAGGGTTTTACTYTGAACAGCCCAGGCAGGCAGGGCTTTTATGGAGGCAGAAATAATCCTGAATTGCACAATGCTGCTTTTTTTGTCAAAGATCAAATAAATGCTGTACAGCAGCGTGTTCAGTATGTTGGTAACAGTCAGTGTTTTCACAACAACTCTTCAGGAGCCTGTTTATTACGAAATTAACTTTCATTAAAACCAATACCTTTATCCTTCCTTTGCAAGATCTTTATTCATCCATTTACTGCCACTTTCACATCAATATTTTACAAGTCTAGTATTATATTGTTTTATTTAGGACATAATAATCAACCTTAACTGCTCCTTATGTTCAGTGCTTTTATAGAAAACAAATGAATACAGAGATACCTAATTATAATGACAAACCCTCTCATCATAAACAGTTTTATTATTGAGAGGAAGTGAGCTTATTTCAACTTTCAGTTCAAAAACACTCCCTAGTTTATTAGTTAGAGCCATTACGTCAGCTGTGGCCTATTTTTATCATTTCCTGTGTGTGTGTGTTCATTTGTCTGTGTTAGCAAAATATATCATGAAGAATAATACAAAATTTATTTAAAACTTAATAAAGTGGGGAGCTTTCAACAACTGAATAGCTTTTAAATTCAGCTTGAGTCAACATGGCCGCCACAGAACTGGCCTTAGCAAACACACAGTTCCCGGTAGTTGTAACTCAGTCAGTTTTACACAGATGAGCTAAAATTTAGTGTGGTAGTAGAACAGATTGTACAAGATCTTTGTTTAAAGGAGACATGTTTTTTTTAAATTATTTACAGTTGTGGTCTATAGAGTTTGTGAGGATGACTCTGGGCTCCTACCAGACTAAACTTTAGCTCAAAAGCTGAAAAATGAAGTTATAGCCATTTGTGTGTTTGCTAAACTCAATTAGCTCGGTAAGGAGAGGGTCTTATAATTGTGCTTGGTAGTTCAGTGTTGCACAGTGAAAAGACTCCCGCTGCAGGAAGTGCATTAATAGAAATGTCAAAGTGTCAAGTGTAATAAAAGTGTATGTTTTTCATTTGCTTTAGTTTGCTCCATTATGACTGATGCTAATGATGTCAAAAATCTCTCTAAATAATTTGCCAACTGATAATCTTTTGGTCTGTTAACACATCTGGCCTCATGCAAGAATATTTTCCTATTCTTATCCTAAATTTCTCTTACTTTTTTTCGTACGAACATGCCACATCAGCTTCAGCAACCACTTCTATCTTCAGGAAAAGTGTGTAAATGAGCTGCGTAAACATGATGAATTCCACCTGTTCATATCCAGCTGGTCGTGCACGAGGAGAGGTGATTAGCACAATTACCACCCTAAAAACACCATATAAGGATATGTTTCCTGCCTCAGATACCAGGAAGTGTCCTTTCATGAAAATGACATCACAAAGTAAAAAGAAGAACTTCACGAGTTCAGAGATTAAAGTCCTGCTCTCAGGGATCCAGAAAAGAAAATCTGTTGTTGAATTAAAGGAGCTGCTTAAGACACGGAATGTGAAGAAATAACGGCTGAAGTTAACGTTAATGCCATGTCTCCTGTGGGTTGCTGCAGTTAGTGACTGTACGACCACGGGTGACATAAATATGAATAAATTAAATAACCACCTTCCAACCAGTACTCCCAYCTGTTCTGCCTCTAGAAAGAAGTTATCCACTTTACCTGTCCTGCTTAACGCTGCAGACACTGTTAACTTCACTGCTGAAAGTCTGCCTGCACATTAACACATTTAAAAATTTAACTCTAATTCAAGCAGAATAGCCTATTGTCAACATAATTATGGAGTGTGATTTATTTTCAATTCTAAATATCTTCAAACTAACGAAATATAAAGTTATTAGTGAAGAAAACCCGTCTGGATAACAGCAGACTGACTGCTGGTAAAATATACGACAGGTCTGGACCACACGTAAATTTTGTTCGTATCTGAAAAAAATCTTAGAATACGAAAACATTGGTGAATGCCACAAATTCTCCTAAATCACTCATACGCACAACTTAAGAACAAACCTGTTCGTATGAACGGTTCTTACATGAGGCCCAATGTCTAGTAATTTTGTGTCCAACCATTAAAACCAGGCAAAAGAAAGCAGCTCCTGGTATCTGAGAAACGTATTTGTATTTGTCAAAAGCACCTGAGCACAATAAGTACTAACCTCAGTGTTGATAAATGTATATTCTACACTAGAAGAGTCAACAGGCTTTCCTCACTGACCTCTCCTTTCTTCACAGTCATGGACTGCCTGCGCGGGGTAATCTCCTCATTGATACTGGACAGGAAGTTCTGGGAGATGCGCAGGGCGTCCTGTAACAGTGGGTAGTCTGGATGGCTGGAGGGAGTGTGCTTCAGTAAGTCCTGCAACAGAAACAAAAGACATCATAAATCCAACAGTTAACCTGAAGAGAAAGGCGTGGCATCAGATAACGGACTCACGTGGAGAACAAGTGTGCTGCGGGTCACCCTGTCCACGGGCTTGTAGAGGAGAGCTGTGGAGGAGGAACAGTCAGCTCAACAGGCTTCATCACAGCTCAGCTCCTTACAGCAGCACTGATTAACGTGGACACTCATACTCACTTTCCAGTGAATGTTTAGCCGACTGGTCCTTGCAGTCCTTTATGTGTTTTACTTTGAGATTCTATACAACACCAACATGAAGGATAAGGAAAAACCTGATGTTAAATATTAGTTTTGCTTCATACTGGGAATAAGACAACCAGACTGACTGCAGCTGTGAAGTCTTTGTGTTGAAAAGCTGCCGTGTCAGCAGCGAACCATCAAACACTGGCCTGCCGTCGTCCTGCTGTGTGCAGCGTGACTTCATACCTCAGATATCTCTGCAAACTGAGCGTTTGCCTGGCAGCACTTGTCTGCCGTCTCCACAGCGACCTTATAGTTATCCACAAAGGCCCGGTACACTCCGAGCTGGCTGGCCTGCAGGGTGCACAGAGGACACAGGTTGGACTCGCAGAGATTTCAGGATTGTGTCATGATAACCTGTCAGATACAAACTGAGCGGGGTTCAGAGTGTGCTTACATGTCTTTATAGAAATCTCTGTTCTGCAGGAACGAGCCTTTAATCTTCTGCAGCCTACAACAAACACTGAGATAACTCCTATTCATCAGCCTCCTACAGAGCCGTTTGTATTCCTCTCCTGGCTGTTCTGTGGTGAAGCGGAGCTTTTTATCTGGCCAGGAGACGACTCCAGGCAGTCTACTCAAAGCTTCGTTCCAAGATCATCTGAGCATTAAAACCAGAGCCAGCAGCTACCACCTCTTCACTCTGCAGGTCCCCTCCTATTAACCACTAAAAGATCAAGGGATGGCATTTAAAAGAGTGCTATCATTACTTTCTGAAAATTATTGAAAGGATAAACGGTGGTCTGTTTGATGAAAAAACAACAGATAGTTTGGAGGCTTGTTGGAACCTTAAGCTGAAGTTTTTATCCACGTGAGGATTTGAATTAGCAAAATACATAAAAAGCTGATCTGTACTTGGCTTTTTAATGTGGTGCAGCCAAACTATGTTTCAAATCTACACACAACTAACACAACATTTCACCTTATATCAGCACATCTGATCGTTTGTACTCCACTGAGCTAAAGCTTCCTTGTTTACATTGAGTCGTTTMTTTCTGCCGTTTAAAAGAATTTAAAGACAGTGGGAAAACTTCCTTGTTTACATTGAGTGGTTTGTTTCTGACGTTTAAAGGAAGAGACAGTGGAAAAACAAGTTTTTCAATGTTTCAGGCACATTGTCAAGACATGTACCTGTATGACATCACATACACACACACAAACTTCCGTCATTTTTTTGTTTTGTACAGATTCTAAAACATCCAGCTGARTTTAGATTCACGGCTATGGAGGACRGAAACTGACATAATTAGAAATAAAAACAGAAACATATAACTGGACTAATAAATATATAAATGCACTTAAAATGCATTAATTAAGAACTTTACTTCATGTTTTATCATTTAATTGACCTTCATATTTATTTTTCCAGCTCAGTTCCAATAAATTATACATGGATCCTGCTCCTTCCTGTCTGTTGACCAATAGGAGGTGAGCTGACCTAAGAAGGACCGCCACCCTTATTTGAATAATGAGACAGAAATGCATAAGGAAATGTAAAAACAGGAGACAGAGAAATGTAAAAGCAACACATGGAAATAAATTGACTAGTGGGGAAATTTGTAAAAAATAATTAAATACAATCATTTGTACAAGTAAAAGGAAAAACAAAACAGTAAAATTTAAAATCATGTGGTGAAATTTATAATTTATTGGAACTAAGATGGAAAAATAAATATGAAGTTCAATTCAATTATAAAACATGAGGTAAAGTTCTGCTTTTTTAATTTAATTGGTACATTTTAAGTGTATTTATTTATTGATTGATCCATTTATCCTGTCAGTTTCAGTCCTCCATACACAACAGAGGACAGATAACGCAGGAGAACAGCATGGATTGTAAATCTGCTGACGTGGAGTGTTAACCCATGTACCAGCTTCTGGAAAAGGTCCCCCACACACTGCTGATGGCTCCAGTCCTGGACCCGGGGCAGCAGAGCATCGTAGAAGTCTTTGTGGATCTCATGTAGCTCAGGCACTTTGAAGAAGATGGTCTCGATTTGCTGGATTGTCAGCATGGGCTGGGAAGTTGTGGCTGCAGCTTTCAGAGGCTTCATGGGCTAGACAAAAACAACATTCACACAGTGAATTAAAATACATTTCAACCATCTACTGTGCCTCTTAAAACAAGTTTACTTTTTAAAAAGAACATTTATATTTTGAAAAATACATCGTCTAAATATGTTTTTGTTTTAATTTGCACACAGTAACAACACGTAAACAACAGTGTTTCCCAACTCATGAAGACATTTCACAACAGRTTCTGGTTTGTTTTTCAGTGCAGGGACTGAAGTTCAGGACCACATCATTGACTTTCAGTCCTGTAACTCTCTCACAGTCTCCAAAGCTTTAAATACGTATGCACCACAGACTGTGACATTTCCTATAGATTTGTTAATATAAGCTGACAAACATTGTTTTACTGTAGTATTTAACAGAATACTGAACCTCATCCCATTCTTACATTTTGAGAAGTTCTTCTTATTTTTCCTCAGAGACGCTCCCCTGTGAGACACCTCATCTAAAGTTTTTATTTCACTTTTGTTTTTAATCACAATTACAAAACTTATCCACAGAGATGTCTTTTTTATAAATGATTACTGAACTTATTTTCTTGTTTTTTTTTTCAAGGCGTTCTATTTCTCATCAGATGAACGRTCCCCAATCAAACTGAAAAATGCAAAAATCTAAACTTTAAAAATGCAGGAAGCTGAACCCACATGCAAATCACCCTCCTTCCACTCCCTTCAGAGGATTGTTACGGTCTTTGCTGACCTGGTCCACATGACACATGTTTTGGTCACAGGCCAACACAGACCCTAAAGACCCTCAGGAGGGAGGGGAGRTTCTGCTCTCTTAGCTCCAAACACTTTCAGACTGAATTAAGAGTTGCTTGGATGAAAAGCGAAGAGTCTTCAAGAAATAAGAAATTCAGTAGTGTGTGTGTGTGTGTGTGTGTGTGTGTGTGTGTGTGTGTGTGTGTGTGTGTGT